TAGTTTATTAACATCTGGAGCTGGGTTCCTGGAGAACTACACTTTAGCTCTACTCAGGCTACTGTGAAGAAAACAAATACATACTATGGTCTCTGTCTACATTTTTACCAAGGTCCTCCTTGCCTGAAATAGCATGGGAGGCAAACAACGGATTTGCCAAAATACATTTGTTTCACAACCCTTTCACCCAACTGCAGTCAAGATTGCAATGATGTATTTGTAGTTTTATGAACAGTCTCCTTGTGTATCCTCACACTGCATGTGCAAGGTAAAACTGCTTCACTTACCACTTAGTTGTTGCAATATTTAATCCAATAACATAAATTATATCTGTATTTAAGAACTTTTTTGTGCAATACAGTCTAATGGTACATAGAAACAACTGCAGCAAACCAGAAAGAGGCTTGCATTTTTTAACATCACTAACTGAAAAAAGCCAATTTTTAAGGTGTAGCATTACTCAACATGCTCTACTGAGTACAATACACTGACTTTTCGAAGCCAATATTTCTGTATAGAAAAAGAAAGAGCTATTTATCACTGTTTATTTAAAATAAATCACATGGAGGATTCCTCTGGTTGTTCACTGCCAAAACTGTGGCATTTTCATTACAGAGTTTGCAATGTCAAAAAAAAAAAAAAAAAAAAAAAAAAAAAAAAAACACAAACCACTGAAAGGGATCCGTATCTGGGTGACACAGTCTATGCGCTGATATTGTTTAATTGTTAAAAGAACAAAGATTTTCAATGTACATTTCAGATGTCAGATACTGTAATTGATTTATTAAAGACTGGCTATCCAGTTCTAACACTGTTGTATAATGTTATGTACTTCAGCAAAAAAAAAAAAAAGAAAAAAGAAAAAAAATAAGAAAACAAAAAGCAAACACAGAAAGCTTGATAATTTAGTTTTTTGGTTTTTTTTTAAATAAAGAAATTTAATAAAAAATTGCCTACATGTAGCATTTTAGAGCATTTTAGAACATTTTGATGAATTGCATTTGTCCTGTAAGATTCTTCTTTTCTTTCCTTTTTTTTTTTTAAGGCTAAATCCAGTCAAAAAATGTTTTTAAGCAAAGTAATGTTTTACAAGGTGGTCGGTTAAAGAAGACTTAGCTTCTGGCCTCATTGATTTTGAGTAACTCCTTGAGAACAAGGAGTTTGGAATGTAATATTAAACCAAATTTCAAGGGCTCCTAAATCTGCAGTTCTTACCCAAGCAGAATGCCTACTGAAACTCAGTGGGTATCTTTCCTGGGTAGAGAGTCCTGTATTGAGCCCTAAATGAGAGCTAATGCAGCGCAGTTCTCCAATCACTTTTCTGCCATGGTGGTTTTAGTAAGTGTTTGCTTGGCCTTTTTATCCAAAAATGTCCAATTTTAGGATGCATTTTGATGTTTAAAGAGAGAGTGACTTGGAACTTAAAAAAACCAACATCGTCATACCTACCATATATGAGACAAATGAGTGTTCACATCCCTCACAAACTGCTAAAGATAAACCATGAGATTGTTTTGAACACTAGTTAAATATATATATGTATGTATGTTTGTATATATATATATTTAACACTGTCAGCTCTGGTCTTGTACTAATACTTTAGAGGCAAGGTTCTTCTCACTTTCCTATGACTAAACACAACATACTCCCATTGCTTTTGATGGGTCCAAAAGGTCTTACAGTTGTGTAACTAAGTGGAATCTAGCCCCAGCAAACTTGGCTCCAACCAGCAAGCTACTCCTTGGTGCCAGCTCTTGCTGAAATCGCTGCTACCAAGGCTGATCTGGCTCTACACAGTAGCTGGTAGGAAACAGGTATTAGTTTATTGTCTGGGGCTTATTTTTTCCTTTATTTTACTACCTCTCTCTCTCTCTCTTTTTTTTCCTCTTAATTTATTGAACACGCTTCAAATAGCAAGTTGGGGAATTTTTTAGTCATTCTTTTTACTTGAAACCTGTGTGCTTTTTTTGGATATATAAGAACAATTTAACAAACTGTTTCTTAAACTCATTTGGTTTTGTAATTTATATAGAATTCAGGAGATGATTAAAAGGGCTATTCTCTATTCCCTATGCAACTATTTTAACTGTTGTAGTGTTTGACAGAATGGGATCTAAAAAAAAAAAACTACAAAGTGGAAAACAAATCTGTTTACAGTGGCGTTGCTGACTATCCTACCATATTCAGCACTTTTAAATATTGTTATTTATGAAAATGTAGTTTAAAATGCAAGACAAAGTATTTATAAATGTTTCTTTTAATAAATAACTGTTTTGTCTGAAAGTGTTATTGTGTTATGACAACTTTATTCATGTTGGTTAGTTACTTACCATTATGAATAAAATATTCAATTATTATACTGATAGAGTAATAGCTATGATGTTTACAAATCCTGAGGGGGGAGAAGTCAGTGAGAAAGGACTGCCTCCTTCTACTGTGAAATACTGTTAGAAGAATGATTTTTTCTGGCTTTTTTTCTTAACTGGAATTTAACTATGGTCCTACATATGTCTAGTATCATTTAATACCAGTTATATTTACTGTGATACTAAACATATACAGCATCATATATGTATATACTTACATAGTGTAATTTCAAGTTGGTTGGTGTTTGAGGCACAAACATTTGGTTCACACATCTAAACAATGTGTAAGACAAAACTGCATGCAAAAACCTTTACGAATGTAGACTTACATATTCTTAATGTTACTATTTGATGGTGACCTGCTAGTCATAATCTATCTTTATAAGATATTTCACATAGGGTAGAAGTTCTTGTCAGAAAAGACAAGTCATCCTTTCAAGGACATTTTTAAAGCTAACTGTGTGGGCCCTAAAATATTACCTGGATTTCTAGCTAAAGATTCCAAAACCTGTATTTGGAAACTGTTACATCATTTTGACAAATATTACACCAGTCTTCAGTGTAATACTGCAATGAAATCACGTTCAAAATTTCTTGTCTTAAATCCTCTATTTGGAGGGGTTTATAAACTGAACATAACTTGTATGAAGTTTCTTTCTTGGAGCAAATGCTCATATTAAAATGATTAATAGACATTTCATCTATCAGTTTGGGTTTCCCAAAATTTTATGAAAAAATGAATATAGTCCGAATGGACAACAACTTGTGCCATAACATGATCTCATTGCCTGTCATGCAGTTCTTTGAACACAAAATGTAAAACAGTCAAGCTATTAAACTGATTAATTGTGCATGCAGTGTACAATACACTTTGAAAAACTGCCTAAATACACTTATTCTATAGCCTGGAATAAAATAAGTATGTATTTAACTTGTATTTCAGTTTTTCATGAGAATGTATATAGCACTATGGAATGTGAGTTACGTTTTTTGTCATTTTTGTCTGGTGTTCGAGCTTTTCCGTCAAGCAGAGCACAATGCCAAATAGACACAAATAAGCGGAGCATGTGGGTACACTCGTAAGACCCTCAGGTTTGGAAGATACTTGAGTATATGTTGTATTTTGCGCACATTCAACTTAGTGATGTGCGTCTGAGCTGAAAGTGGTTTGAAATGCCCAGGATAAAATAAAACCACAGAAAACACCAAAAGTATCTAAGTTAGCTTGAAGACACATATGTATGGAAGAGACCTCAGTGTCCGCTGGCCAGACCAGGCAGGGCAGAATGCCCTGGAAATGCGTCCACACTGTCTCAGACTCATCCAAGCATCAGTGGAACCCACAAAACCCTTCACAGCACCACAGAATCAGTGACTCACAGAGAGTTGATAGAAATCACACATTAATTATATCCTGTTTTAAATTGAAAGTATGCAGAAGTGTCTGCTAGGCTGTGATCTAAACAACAATATACAGTAGACCTTCATCAAGGTCATCAAATAAATGGGGTTTGAACTGTCATTTGATGCCAGACTTGCATCAGTAGTGAACACAACAACCATTTGCCCGTGAATAGTATATAAAGGAGGTGAGAAGGCCTTTGTAAGTAGCTGGCTGGTCTTATTGCATTAAGGAGCAAGAAGTTTCCATACTCAAACTATTGCTGCAAAAGCCCTTTATGTGTCTTCCACATTGCTTTGAATCATGTTTAACTATCAACTCCAAAACACTGCTTTGTTTGTAGAAGAACCCCTTTGGAGCAGCTTGGGATACAGCTGCAGCTGCCCAGCCCTGTTCACCTCTGTCCTGAGCACACATTGCAGAGATGAAACCTCAGTCCTCCTTGTGCACCTCAGACCTCAGGGCTTTGGCAGCAGGTGTGTCTTTTGCAATACAAAAGAACAATGCAGCAGTGGCACCAACATGAGCTAGAAAAAGGATTACATGAATTGCACTTTTGGGAAACAACTACTCTCATGTTATGCCAAGAGTCAGGTTTTGCCCCTTCCTTTATCCATAACCTGTCACTCAGTGGAATTACATCTTTCCCATTTAAAATAGGGACACAATCTACCTGTTACAACTTGGGGCGCTGCATGGGTGGGTGGCAATCGTTTGCAGACACTGGGACCCACAATAACCAGGCTGCACTATGCACCACTGCCCAGCTTACTTCCACATTTACTTCAAGTAAGTTAATTCTACACTACTGTCATAACTTTTGTCATAGAGCTTTATTCAAAGTGGTGCATTAACACTCATGACCATGACGATTTATTCATGTACAACGATGCGGTTATTGCTACCTCACCAGGGTAGTTCACTTGTGAAGTATGGTTATGTCCTTCCGTTAAGACACAAACAAGAATGGAAGAATGGCAAAGATGTGACTTTGACATCCGGAACATAAACTACTGCCTAATAAAGTTTTATGCCAGTTGCATATTTTTACAATAACCTATATTATTCTTCAGTACACTTTCCGACCTCAGCTCAACGCCACCCAGCCCCCACTGCACGCACTGTCAGCGCCGGCCAATCAGAGAGCACAGCCCCCCTCCACGAGACGAAGAGAGCCGAAACCCTTCGTTCGTTTCCGCCACGGGAGCCCCAATGGCTGATATCGGGGCCGAGCCTCTTCGGCAGCTTCCGGAAACCCGGAAGGGAAACAGCCGAGCGCCTTCGGTTACCTCCGGCGCGATGGGCTGCCGAAGGAAGAGCTGAGTGCATGGAGCAGTCCTCAGCCGGTATGGGACTATTCTCGCGAGCTCTCTGCGCGGCCCGAAGCTGCCGGGCAATCGCACTGCCTGCCTGCAACCACCAAGCTGTGTCCGGCAGGGGCAGCGCGGCGGCAATACGTCCGCAACAGCCGCGGCGTGGGCTGAGCGCCCGGCCTCGCTTAGACGAACTGTTTGCCATCCCTTCCTTAAGCCGCCTCCTGGAGGCGCGGGTGCAGGGCGAGGCCGGAACGGAGCTGGCGGCGCGGATCCAGCGGCTGCGTGACAAGGAACGGGAGCTGCGAGACACGCGGGAGCTGGCACTACAAGGTGAGGCGCGTCGAAAGGCCTGTGCCCGGTCCCGCCTCAGGCCGCCGCGACGGGGAGGGGAGGGCAGAGCAGGGATCTGCATGGGCGGGGCGTGCTGGAGTCCGTGAGGCCTTGTGGGCGGTGCGGGGTGTAATTTGCATAACCCGACGTGATTGGGTGGCCTCCCGGAGGGGGCGGGTGCAGGCGAATGAGTGGCACTGCCGACCTGTAAGGGTATCGGCTGCGCATGCGTGGGATGCGTGCCGTTCCGCGGGGACGCGCTCGGGGCTGCACAGTAGTGCTAAAATCTCTCGTTGCTTTGGCTGGAGGAGATGTCAAACGATGTTCGAAAGGAAAATGTTTTTCCTTTTTTCTCCCCAGTTCATTCTCTTCCGACGTGGAGTGAAAAAAAGAGAAATGCTTCAGTTGGAAAAGTTATTAGTTGGCCCAAAGCTGTTAGTTTCTGTTATGTGGAAATAGAGTGAAGGATTTTTGTCTCCCTTCTGAACCCTTCCCTTCAACCTGATGTTGATCTTAAGCAAAGTGACCATAAGGGTTTGGTCGGTCACTGTGAGCACTTTTGCAGCTCATCCTTAATAATATTTCTATGTAATAGGATCATAAAATATGCAAAATTGAAAGGGCCCCACGTGGATCATAAAATCATCATAGAATAGCCTAGATTGAAAGGACCACGATGATCATCTAGTTTCAACCCCCCTGCTATGTGCAGGGTTGCCAGCCACCAGACCAGGCTGCCCAGAGCCACATCTAGCCTGGCCTTGAATGCCTCCAGGGATGGGGCATCCCCTCCCTGGGCAACATATTCCAGTGCATCACCACCCTCTCTGTAAAAAACTTCCTCCTAATATCTAACCTAAACCTCCCATCTTAGTTTAAAACCATTCCCCCTTTTCCTATCACTGCCCAAGGATCATCGATTCCAACTCTTGGCTCCACACAGGGCCACCCAAAAATCAGACCGTATGTCTCTTAAGTGATTTTAGAGCTTGTTTTACATTTCTATATTAAAATATGCAATTGTGCTATGAAATAGGTTTGTTCTTCACAATTACTTAGTGAATATCTGATTCTGTTGGCCTTAATGCTAGACCTTGATCAGACAGTAGTCAGTCTAAAATAAAGAAGTAGATGGATGCAGGTGATCAATTTAATGTGTTTAAGGTATCACAGTTCATCAGCCACTCAGCCATGTGTGCTTCTTGCCAGCTGTAAATAAAGCATACTTTTTATTGAAACCAATTTACACATGCTTTTTTTCTTTTCCTTCCCTTTTTGCAGAAGTGATTTAGAAAAAAATAATCCCCAGATGTTGAATGTGATCTTTAAAGACAACAAAAGTTATTTTTAAATGTAGTTAATTGCTCACATGAATCACAGTACCGAAAAGGTGTATATTTGCTGTGAAGGTACCTCCCAGACTCAGCTGTGCACAAAGAGATGGTGGCTGGCATCTTTTGTTTTGGTCTTGTGCCATTGACTATGCAGTTCTGTCCTTGTGTTCCACGCCCTTTCATTATGTATGTAATTTACTCCTTTTGGAGGGTTTATTTTGTTTTCTTTTGGGCAAGTGAGCTGAATTACTACAGGTCAGAGGTGGTTTAAGCTGTATTTTGTTTAAGTCTGAAATTTGATAGTGACCAGAGAGTGGGAGGAAGGGACATCTTAACATATTCAAACAGTAGCACAGGAAAACAAGTCTAACTGTAAATTATGAGTGTTGATCAGTCAAGTATCATCTTAAAATTACAAGTTCTTCTTATGTGAGAACTCCTGAATATTTATGTCTTTCAGCAGTGTGTTAGAAATTTTGCAGCTGCCTTACAGTAACTTCTTACAGATGGAGTACTTGAAGTTACTGCTACTGATACGCAGTTTTTACACACAGAGTCCTTTTAATGAAATGTTAATCGTGGGACTCTACACTTCGATCCTTGATGTCCCTATCACAGTGAAATACAGGAGGGTGTTCCCCAGGATCCTGGGGTGACTGAGGTTGGAAGGCCCGTCAGGGAATGGCTCAGCCCACTGCCCAGAGCAGTCACACATAGCCCAGGGCTGTGCAGTTTGGGTCTGGCTGTCTGCAGGGGTGAGACCCCTGAACATCCCTGGGCAGCCTTCTCCATATTTTGGCCACCATTACAGTAAATTATGTTTTCTTTCTTATGCCGAAGTGGGATTGCTTGTGTTTCAGGTGTAGAAACATCTGAACACTGTTTGTCACTGTTCTAGATCGTAACATTAATCACATGTTCTGACAGATATGATGTGATTTTGTTTATTTTGGAGAGTAAGTTCTTCAGATGGTTATTTTTCAGAAGGTTTTCTAAGAGTGCCACTGGTTTGAGTTTGAGGATTAACCATACTCAAATATTCCAGATGAAAGTGAAGATCTACGGAAACTTGCAGAAAGGGAAATCGTTTCCTGTGAAGAAGAGATCGCTGAACTGAAACACCAGGTTAGATTGCCTCTGAAAGCTTGTTGTTTCCTTGCCATTCCTAAGTTAACAAAGCCAAGTTGTCCTCTCATTAAATAAGATATGTATGATGAACTCTTCTCCTTTCCCCCCTCCTGACCTCTGCCTCTGTACTCCTCAACCAGTGTCTGTTACCTAAAGAAAATGAAAAATGCAGATTGCATATAGATAGTCTGTGGCTGAATTTTTTTTATCAGTTCATCCTGATAGGTGGGTGCTGTAGTTTGTCTCTTCTGGTTGTACCTTTGTGGGTGTTCGGCTTGTTATTGGTTAGGAACTTTCAACTTGCGTGATATGGTTTTGAAAAAAATAGTGTAATACTATGTAACTGCTTTAGACTGCTACCTTGTATAGGTTCTACATAGTATCTATGGGTATTTGTATCAAATAGTTACCTTTATGTAAACTGCTGACATGTTCCTAATGCTACTGGTAAACTAGAAGCTGGCTGGCTGTTAGTAGAAATAGACTGTAACTCACGTTCTTTGTTCTTTTGGCAGCAATGGAGCAGTCATATTATTATAAATATCTATAAAAAATAGGTATTTATTTATTAGTAGATATTTATGATATATGCTAAAAGAAGAAAGGGAAAGCTGAAGTAGAAAGAGACATCACCTAGTACTACTAAAGAAGGATGATTGAAAATTATTTATAAGTCATACAGAGTTTTAATCAATCCTTCAGAACTATTATATAGTTTTTGGTTCTAATATTCTGGTATATCTTTATCCAACAGATCAATAAAGCCATCTCACCTTTAAATAAATAAAAATAATATAGCTGAATTGGTGTTGAAATGTAATCCAGAGCATCTTCTTAGTTCTGAAGTTGGTATTGGTTTAAAGAGGAATCTAATGAGAATGGAAAAGTTTTGTTTTCTTGCAAGAATCATTATATATCCTATGGTGTGCAACTGGTGCAGTGCTTCTAATTGATGAAAAGTTCTATGAAGTTTTGTGGGTCTTGAAATAAATCTTTTGTTTCTGCAAACAGACCCAGGGAGGCTTTTGGCAATGCAGCATCCTCCCCTCCCAGTTCCTGTGTATTAATTCAAGGGTTGTCAAAGCAGATTCTGGAGAGTCTGTGAGTTAATGCAGGAGAATGCAGAGTAGATAAATTATTGCATGGCATTTTATACAATATCAGTTCTGGATTGAAGGGGCAGATCTTAGATGAGTGTTTTTGCATTCACAGATAGTATTGCTTTTGATTCCTTCAGAAGAAACAAACAGTGGTCTTGTCATGGAAGTAACTGCTGGAGTTGGAGGACAAGAAGCGATGCTGTTCACTTCAGAGATATTTGATATGTATCGACGATACGCTGCCTATAAAAAGTGGAAATTTGAAATACTAGAATATTTTCCCAGTGAAATAGGTCAGTATCTTACCAAAAAAAAAAAGGGTAATTGTTTGTAACATTCTAATTTAAGCTGAAAAATTAATTCTTATGCCATATGAATTTCCTGACTACAGGAAACAAATTTCTGGGAAATTATATTTAGAAGCAGAGATTGAATGTCTGGGTACAATTTTCTTCAGCTTCTGTATTTGAGAGTGATATCCCACTTGAGAAGCGCTATTAAAATAATAACATACTAAAAAAAAAATTCTTTCAGTAGTTTCAAAAAAACAGAAATGAAACTAAGGGCTTGCAGATAAGAAATTCAGAAGGTCATGCTGTTATGTTTTAGTTTTATATAACCTGTGTTTGTAAAAAGAAATTGAGAATTGTACAGGGAAAGGAGATGTTTGGATATAGCTCATGTAACAGCTAATGGATACACAAAGTGAGGGAGTTGCTGAAACTTTGAGAGGAGAACTAAAACATATGATCACCTAAAAAAGCCTTTGAGTAAAATTCAACTTATCAGTTTTTCACCTTATTGATGCTAGTGAAAAGAGGTGCCTTTATAAAAATAAATAGCATAAAATAAAGAGCAACTTGTAGCTGAATGCAAGAAGATTAGAAACTGTTGTATGTGGTGATGGAGCTGTTAAGTTGATTCTCTGCATCTCTGAGAGCAGTGTGTTTACAGAAAGAGAGCATGGTAGGTTTACATAACAAACAGAGGCAGGACATTAATTTACTGATTGTACCAGCTGGTGTGTAAATTTGTTTCACAAAAATCAGGCTGCTGTCTCTACATGGCTTTTCTGCACTGACACTTCCATCATTGCTGAAAGCCTCATTACCAAGTTAATTCAGCAGACAAACTACATACAAAAATTAATCAGTTTTCAGGTGATCCAGTACAACAGAGGGAAAGAGAAATAATCATGGAGAGAGTGGAAGCAGAAAAATGTGACTTCATGTCCTTCCAGCAGTCGAAGGTTCAGTGAGCTCAGGTTAACTGCAGTCTGAAATATGGTGGTGTGCACGAGTGGTGGTAGGGACCACATTTTGACAGATAGCTAGTCACAGTTCTCAGCAGGCTGGACCTGCTAAGTCTGTGTTGACAGATCTGCAGCCTTGCTGTTATGTATAGTGTGGTAAGTAAAGCTAGTGTATTTTAGTAACCTATATTTTGCTGTGGCAGTAATGTGTATTTTACAGTGGGAATGGATTGGTAGTTGGGTGCTCACACGTTTTGCATCTAGTACTTGAAACTATTTGTATTTTCATCAGCATCCTTTTTTCTTTTTTATAGTTACAAACAGTTCATAGTTATAATTATGTTTTTATTAACTCTTCTGATAGATAGGTATTGATAAAAAGTAACGAACAACATGAAAAATTATCATTTAAAATTTTTGTTTTAATTGAGGAAAGAAAAACAAGGAAAACAGCTTGCTTGAGAAACATTGAAGATGTAGTTGGAAGAGCTGGGAAATTACAGGATGTAATCCATCAGAACAGCTAATCTCTCTTCAGTCAGTACTTCACCAGAAACTGAACTAGATTCTGCAATGACAAACTTACTTGCTTTTAAAAGCAAATTGAATCAGCATGGTACAGGTTAGATGAGTATAAACGATATGAGGGAAAGGGAGGAGTTTTCTTTATTTCATACCTGAAGAAGAGGGACTTACGGAAGAAGTCAGCTTTAGTAGGGACAGTCCCACTTTATAGCCAGCTGCCAACTTTACATCTCTTCTGTGTCTCCATTAGCGGTTTTGAGGCTGCAGTGCTAATTGGATCAATCTGCTGATTTGGCTTAAAAGCTGCCTATTGTTAGTGGATAGTTCAGGCAGATCTGACTCAACTAGCAGCCCTGAGATTACAAGAGAAAGGGAGCTGTGCTTGACTACCTTTTTGGTGAATTCTTAGATAACGAACACAAACCTGCAGAAGTATTCTTTTCAGTGCCTGAAATTGGAAATCAGAGTCATAAATTAATACGTATCTAACCATTTTTTTCTTATTGAAGCTTGTTGTTTAATGGGGTTAGATACGTGTCAGAACTATTCTGACTTGCTGAGGACTTGCCTATAGAATGAGATGAATATTTAGGGAAGGAGGATATAAACTTGCAGTAAAAAAAAAATAGCCTTATTCTTTGTTTGCCTCTTAAATGCATTTCCTCACCATACTCGTTTTTATGACCACACACACATCCAAAACTTGAGATGCTGGGAGTAAGTTGCAAGGTAGAACCACTGTAGATGGCACAGACACCGTATTCCTATACAGTTCCTTAGGTCCAGGGTTTATTAAGAAGCAAGTTAAAGATATACACTGGTATGGCTGGTGATTATATCCCATCCACACTGAATTCTTATGGACTGCATGAGAAAAAAGAAGGTCCTGTACTAAAAGATCAAGCTTCCTCATTTCAAAGAGCTCCAGAATCTAAACACAAAGAGGTTAATAAGGTGAATGTTAAGCACGGCTGCAACTAAGAATTAGTCTGAATCCACTCTTAACTTACATTATGGACACACCACCAGAAATGACTCTGAGAAATAGCACATTTGAGGTTTAACATGCACAGTAAAGCACAGTCCCATGTGGTATTGTTTATCCTCTACTCCTTGCTCTATAGCAGCAGGTGGAAACATAGATATCAAACTTCGTTGTGGTCTGAATATAACGTGACATAAAGAAACTAACAGAGCTCAAGCTCCTTGTTTGTTGCACCTTGGCTTTACAGAATGGAGAGGACGCTTTTAGTTAGAGGCAAACAATAGGTAGTAGGAGCTAGCTGTGTTTGACAGGCCTAAGTAATGTTTGCAATATTAAAAAAAATAAAAAAAATAAAAAAAAAACGGGTAGAAGGTTTGTTTGAATTTTCTTGGATTTGACTGTGTTTCTTGATAAACCTGAAGTTACTGTGTATTGGTAATAGTGTATCTGAAGTGTAATAGTGTATCTGAGTATGACCTAAATAAATACCTGTTTTAAGCTAGTTTCTTGGTCATCTTGTACTAAGCTCCACATTACCACAGTTGCACAATCATTGCTACAGACTTAAAGTCTCCTCAACATATCACAGATGTAACTGCAGCTCAGATAGGCATACTGTACCCATTGTAGATGTACTAATGCCAGGACAAGTGAGGGAGAAAAGACAGAACATTAGCTATTGCAATGAACTGCTTATTACATAGTTAATTTTGCCTAGAGTACCATTCAAGTTATTTTTACATTGGATTTGGCTTGGCTTTTTCCTCATGTGCAGAAAATGCTTCTTATATCTTTTTGTTGTTGTGATTTTTTTTTAATTTTTATTTTTTACTATTATTATTTTTTAGTACTTTTACATCTGAAGGAGCAACTATGTTTTAATTCTAGCACTGCAAACACAAATACACAGTTTGCTTAGGTTATATATATCTTCTTCTACAAGGAGGGTTATTTTGTTTATTTGAATACTGTTTGCATAATAATTAAGATTTCATGGCGCCTGTTAGAGAGTACCTTACTGATTTAAACTGAAGTGTGTGATGCATTTTCTGATTAGTTAAAATACATGCTTCCGAGTCATATTTATCGTGATGGTTTTGTCTTACAGAATTGGTTGTAGATAATGACTATAAATCAAGAACTGCTTGTGTTGAGTGATGCATTTGATTGGAAAGTAATATAGATCTCTACAGGTGGGAGTAAAATTTTAGAATTCACAGGGACAAAAATGAGGTGGAAGTAAGGAAAAAAGGCAATTTCAGCTGATTTTGACAAACCTACCTGTAAAAAGTAATGTGTTTCAGTAAAGTTATGAGGGAGCATTAAATTTCTGTAGAACAAAAACATTTGCAGTAGTAGTGAAAAACCTCGCCTGCATTCTGGCTGATGACTGACTTCTGTAGTGTGCAGTGATATCACATTCTATGTTCTCTTCATCTTTCTTTTTATAAAGCTGTTACCTTGTCCCCTAACCTAGAGAGCCTAAAATGGTATTTCTGAGAAGTATGTATGTGCCTCTCATTTTCCTGGGCTGTGCTTTTACGTTCAAAGACTTATACAGCAATATTCTTTCAAGGTTTTCTCTTTTTCAGTATCTCCCTTGGCACACCACCTGTTCTGCTGAGAATGGGATCTGGGAACTGATTTGAATTAAAAAAACAAAGCAGTTAAAATAATAATAATAATAATAATAATAATAATAATAATGACATTCACAGTGCCATCAGTTCTGTAATCTTTCAAACAGTTCTACTAGCACAGTTGAAAGGATTGCACTCTGGTAAACAAGGAGGAGGAAGAATGCCAACTAGTATTGCAACAAACTTTCTGTCTTGATTGTATTGGGTCTTAGTTTGAAAGTTCCAATTCTGAACATTCTATGCTAACTTTCAGTGTGTTGCTGTCAAATATTTTGCTTAATATGCGGGTAAGGGGGCAGGAGCTCTGCTAATTCTGATGGAGTAAAAACTTGAAATGGAAGAACAAACGTGAGGCGTAAAAGAGAATGGGGAAGAATAATTTAAAAAAAACAAACAAACAGATGTCCCACAGTAAGTCCATAGACTTACTGTGATGGTTTTTTTCTGTATCCATTACATGTTGAGGTTCTCAAATACTACTCAAAAGAATTTGATATAGTTACTGAAAGTGGCTCTCAAAACTTGATCTTTACATAAACTTACAATTGGTGTCAGTTTTCTGCTATAGTTGAAGTATTGTATGTGTGCATGGCTCATAAACAACCTTTTATGTATGTATAAAAAATTTAATTGGATTCTGTTAGAAGAACTTGACTGTCCTTTACTTGATATATAGTGTGAGAATGTATGTTTTGGAGTTCTCTTGCATTTTTTATGTAATCCTACTCAAGCATCAAAATGATAAATATGTAGTTTTAAGAAATAAACAACAATGATGCCTCAGTATGCTTGAAATGTAATAACATGTAGCCAATGCTGTTTACACTTCTACAACTGTTTTTTATTTAAGGTGGCCTAAGACATGCAGTTGCCAGTATAGCAGGCCTTGATGCTTACAAGTACATGAAATTTGAAGGAGGAGTGCATCGTGTTCAGCGTGTGCCAAAGACAGAAAAACAAGGGCGCATTCACACCAGCACAATGACTGTTGCAATATTACCCCAACCCACTGAGGTAACATTTATTTTTAGTATAACAGGTATTACCATAAGCAATGCTTTTACTTGCCATATTGCTTGTACCAAAGTCTTTTCTGTCTGTCTAGTTGTTCTCTCTTAATTATGATTTTGCTTTTTGATCTAAAAGTTTTAAGTTGTATTTGATTGCTTATTTTTGCCTAAGGGAATAAAATAAATAATTTCTATATTTCATCATAATTGTTATCTCAAACTCACTGGCAGTTTACTTCACTGTCACTTGAAAATATACTGTAACTGTGCCTTGCATGTTCAGTGGATGCAGTGGCAAAAGACTAATTTAGTTTAGAGAGGATGTAGATATTTGTTTTAGCATCCCTCTTACTTATTTTTTAGTATCCTCATTTTCCCCTTCCAAATTGCATAAGTGACAATTCATCCTTAGCAAATTTGCTTGGTTTTAAATAATTGGCTAATAATTAAAACTTTGGATGTTCGTCTTAGCAAACTGCCAAAATATTTTATTCCTTCTTCTTGTCCCTAAGCTGTTTCATTACTTCCTCCCAGAGATCACCACCCCATTCCAGAGCCAACAAAGTCACTATGTTCTCTTTTATGTGAAACCCATCCAGTCAAGTTCAAATACTGCTTAACTTGTCTGAGGGAGAGTGTAGAACTTTCAGAAGAGGGAGGAGATTAGTGCTCATGGATTTCCCCGCTTTTTATAAGTGGATCTGAGCTACCACTCAAACTTTAGGAAAAAAATATTTGTTTGATCTTGCCTGAATATGTTTTATAAAATAAACCAATTGTGCATATTTGACTTCTTTTCTGTTTGTCTCCCATGACAGATGGAGCTGAAAATTAATCCAAAAGATTTGCGAATAGAAACAAAGAGAGCTAGTGGAGCTGGAGGGCAGCATGTCAATACCACAGACAGTGCTGTACGGATAGTTCATATTCCAACAGGTGCTTCAGTTTTCCTTACTATAAGAACTACACTGTAAAAATACGGTCATGGTTTCCTTTGTACTGTGTTATTTGAAAGAACAGTTTCAAACCTGGTTAACTGAAGAGCAAAGTTTTTGTGTTATTTTTGTGTGTGCAGAAAATCTCTATACTGTTGTAAAGTCAGTGTCTTGTGCTTACCCTTATTTGTAATAGTTAAGGCCTCAGTAGGTAAGCTGTCAGTTTTTCCATTAAATGTGACACTCATGAAGTATTAAAATCAATTTATAAAAAAAGTTTTATATTAAGCTTTCAACTAATGGAAAAGAAATTGAAAAACAGAAGTTAAAATCTTAGGATGTACTTTTTCTTGACTGTTCTCTGAAAGAGAGGTTGCTCTTTTTCCTTATTGAGTAAGTAAGTAAGTTTTAAGTGTCATCCGTTGCAGAGTGTGCTTAGGTTGCCAGCTTCCATTTGTCTTCTGGCTCCTTTCCTATGGATTGCAGACATGATTACAACACCCATCCCCAGGGCTCAGGTTAGGAAATGTAAGAGGGATAAGATACACCCTCAAATGCTACCTGATGTCAGCTATCGTATCTTTTATTGCTGTTTCTAAGCTTTTAACCTCCTTTTGAGCAATCCACAACATCTGCCTTTGACTTTCATTGCTTTTTAACTTTTCCTCTTCTCCTCCACAAACATTAGTCAGGCTTTACAGCCTCAGGATAATCCTGAGTACACTTTATCTTTGCATATCCAGGTTTTTGCCACCCATTTCTTTGCATTTATTGAATACATAAATCCACTCTACACTTGTTGCATCACCTCAGTGAAGTGGAGGGTAAATAGTGAAGATATTCGCATTCTACTTAAGACACAGTGACAAAAAAGTACTCAGATTAGAAGAATTTTGTATTGTTTTGTTTTTTTCCAAATGTGCAGACAAAAAGCAGCAAATGGTCTTAGCTTTTGCTGAAGGCAGTTATTAGGGTTTTTTTTAATAAAAATATTAAAATGTATTGCAATTGTTTTTTGTGTTTATGTGCTAGGAGTAGTGCATAGGGGTATTCGTGGGTTTTTTTTTTTTTTTTTTTTTTGCATTTCACCTAATCTGAAATTTTTTTATTTATCTTCATAATCTCTCTTGCTTTTCAAGTGTTCTTTCAAATTTTCAATTTCTGTCATCCCAACTCCATTTACAAGTCTTCACTGTGACCCCAAAAGTTGTTCTTAAAGTTTGCTTTAAGACAACAAAACTTGTATTTCATACATTAATGCTAAGTAATTAAGTATCAGTCTACTGTAATCTTACCAGAGTTACTTACAGCATTTCCAAATAGAAATTAGGTTGTACCATCTTCTTCCTGTGTTTATTTTTCCTGCTCTTTTCTTAGGTTGTTCATTCACTGTCTTAACTTGAATTGTATATTTTTTAGAAGAGACCATACTTTTTTTTTGTATGTTCTGTATAGCCACTATCTAGTGTACATTCCTGCTGTTTTACTGCTAAATTTCCTAGAACTGTGGTAAAAAAATTACAGATATCTTTAGAAGTTTATCACTTATTTCATTGTTCAATATACCAAAATAAATTTATTTTCTTCTGCCATAAAGCTCAAAACACAACTCAGCCTGCAGTTAGCAGTTCTGTCCCCAAAGTATCATCAGACATGAAGGAGCCTGGACTTTCACTTTCCTTGTCCAAATATACATTTTTTTTCCTCATAATAAAAATCCCTAGAAATTGCAAACTCTTTTTTATATGTTCCAGTTTAGTGTTAATTCTCATTATGTTTTTGGCAGGGGTCACATCTGAATGTCAGCAAGAAAGATCTCAAATTAGAAACAAAGAGAAGGCTATGCAAATGCTTTGTGCTAAACTGTACAACATCAAACTAGAAGAAGAAACCAGAAAGAGAAACAGTGTTCGAAAGATTCAAGTAAGTTTCATTTTGTGAAGATTTAATTCTGTATGAGCATACGTTCTTGGGAGTTAACTCCTGTGTTCTTTCACAGGTTTAAGAGCAATTAGTGTGACTACCGATCTAGTCCAAGCACTACATAACAGATACTATGTATTTGTAAGAAAGAAAAAAATTTCATTTTAAATGCTTAATCAGTATTTCACTCTTCCTACAAGAAGGCTTTTAATCAGTGTTGTAAACTTGATTCTTCTTGTTTGATAGATTGGAACTAAAGGAAGATCGGAGAAGATCAGAACATACAACTTTCCACAGGACCGGATTACTGACCACAGGATAAGCAGATCAGTGCATCATACAGAGTGCTTCATGTTAGGGGAAGAAATGCTAGATGAAATGATACAAACTCTGAAGGAATACGCTGATTATGAATCTTTAATGGAAATTATTTCAGGACATGAAAAATGAATCTTGCACTTTGTCAAGCCATGTCTACAGGTAGAGATATTCGCCTGCAAAAGAACTCCTTGGAGCACTATTCAGACAACAGAACTGCTTTTCAGATAATGAAAGCTGGTTTCCTCGTGGTGATAAACAGTATTCTTACTTGTTGAGTAAAACACCTTGTTGCTGCTGCAGTGTGCTTAAAGTAAATTTGACTGGGCCAGATGTAACTGCAGTTTTTAACTTCTCCACTGAGAAGATACTGATACACCACTCTCAAAAGGTATGCATTAAAAATGAGTTTTTTCTAGTTCCGAGTCTTGTTCAAACAATAATTTCAATGTCACCACAGTGTCAAATAGCTTAGTCAAGATAACAAAAAAAGAAATCCTATTTTGTTTAGTAATACAAAGAAAGTCATAAACACACTACTAATCTGCAGATTTCTTAATGCCTTGTACGTGGTATGGGAGAGGGAGTTCTTGTAAATCAAGCAGAAGGAATTGTATAGGAAGATTCCTTGTTCCAGCAAGAGTTCTAGGAGAAAAGTCACTAGTTTTGTGAATTCTTTTTAAAAAGAATGTTTCTGTTCTTGTGTCAGAACAAAAAAAAAAACCAACAAAATAGGATGGCTGTCTTGAAGGCTGATAGAATTTCAGTCTCTATTTCTATACAGTTTATTGTTTTTAATTGGATCTGCAGTTTTTTTTCCCTCTCAAGTTTACGTAATATGAGTGACTGCTCACTGCTTTAAACTGTTCAGTTTAACAGCGTCTTAAAACGTTTGTTCAAAGCATAAGAACTGCCTTTTTCATGTACTAACATAGGTACAAAGTCCTATCTGAGGTTAAATAAGACTGCATTTTACAGTCTTAAGTATTTGTGATAATACAAAACTCCATGCTACATTAGCCCATCATTCATTGTAGATATGTGTGTATACACACACAGAATGTATTCAAAGTACCAGTAAATACGAAGTGAGAACCTAAGCAAAATATGACCTTGAATACAGTTGTTTACTTTGAGACTTATTAGCATAAGAAATTAGAGTAAGAAAGAAGTAAATGCAGGAGTTTGCTACAGTTAGCTTATAGAAACATGGCTAAGCATGCTATATAAAATTTAACAAGGAATGAAAAACCAAAACTGATCATTATCAGTTTATCATATCAAAGAATAGCTTAAGTTGGAGGGGACCTTAAAGATTGTCTAGTTCCAACCCCCTGCCATGGCAGTGTTGCCAGCCACTAGACCAGGCTGCCCAAGGTCCCATCCCACCTGGCCCTGAACCCCTCCAAAGATGGAGCATCCAGAACCTCTCTGGGCAACCCATTCCAGCTTGTCACCTTCCTCTGAGTAAAAAAACTTCCTAACATCAAACCTAAATGAACCTTCATTTAGTTTAAAGCCATTCCTTCTTGTCCTATCACTCTCAGACCATATAAAATGTCAGTCCATGTCCTGCTTGTAAGCTTTCTTCAAGTACTAGAAAGCCACAGTAAGATCTTCCCAAGCCTACTCCAAGCTAAACAAGCTCAACTCCCTTGACCTTTCTTCATAAGAGAGGTGCTCCAGCCCTTTGTTTGTCTTCATGGCCTCCTCTGGACCTGCTCTGACAGCTCCATATCCCTACTGTGCTCCGCAGTACTCCAGATGGAGCCTCATAAAGGCAGAGTAGAGGGAGACAATCACTGCTCTTTGCCTGCTGGCCATCCCTCTTTTGATGCAGCTGCCTTTCCAAGCTCCAAGAGCACACTGCTGTCTCATGTACAGCTTTTTGTCCATCAGAATCCCCAAATCCTCCACTGAGCTGCTTTTGAGTTTGTCTCCCAGTCTGTTCTCATATCTGGGATTGCCTCAACCCAAGCAAAACAACTTGCACTTGGCTTTGTTGAATCTCATCAGATTCTTGAGTGCCTGCTTTTTTTGCTTGTCCAAGTCCCTCTGGATGGTGTCCCTCCCTTCTATTGTTTGAACTGTGCCACTCAGCACACTATCATTAGTGAACTTGCTGAGAGTACACTCAATCCCACTGTGTTGTTCATTTCAAGATTGCAGTTTGAATGGATGCATTTCAAAAACAAGTATCGACTCTATCAGCTTTGTTTTCTAGCAAACGTAGCATGGTAAGAAAGACCAAGTTCCAAATATTTAAATTAAAGGGGTTGTATATATTACCTTAAGATGTTGACATGCCTGTGTATGTTAGATGAGGTACACACTTCCTGTTGATAAGTGTGAAACCTTACCTATGTCTAGATTTACCAGCAGATCTGCTGGTACACTCTTTGTATTTAAAATATTTAGAGATTGATGGGATCAGCATCTAAGACTGAAGTCTTTATTCCTACCACATCAGTGCTGCAAACAGAGTCATTACTGCACTCTTCCTGATTTAAAGCCAGGTTCTATTCTACCAGGTGATGAAAGGAGTGTGAGATTCCTTCTCTCTTAGCGTTGTATTTTTCTAGGTGCATAAGGGACATCAGCCTGGCTTAGCTCTAGGACTAATGCATGAACCCCATGAATGTTAGTTAAGGTCTTTGCCGCCATAAAGTTTCCTTTCATATCCCGTGTGGGGCCTTGTTGGTCCAGCCCTGCCAGGCCCACAATCTCCCTGCTTTTTTCTGTCTCCTAAGCAGATTCTGGGTGCTTCATTGCTTGGCCAGGGGCTAGCGTGAGAAAAGTCAGGAACACAGGGACCCTGTGATTCTGGCAGGTGGCTGACTGGCATCTAAAAATGAACACACCTGAGTTCTGTTCAGGGTGTGCTTATAACAGTGTAGGGATCTCTCTGGTCTGCCAGTGCAGACTTTATGCCATAAAGGTTTGAAGTCTCTTTTATGTGCTGTATTAGTTTTAATGCAAGATTTGTATGTAGGTTGCTCCGAAAGTTATGCCTCCTGTTTATTTCCAGGGCAACTATGACAGATGCAAAGTACACAATGATAATATTTGATAGATCAAATTCTGAACTACAAACAGTTTTTCAACATAGTCACCGCCATTAACTGTGCACATTTGGCAGCAGCGAACAGAAGCCTGCGTGCTGCATTTGTAAAAGTCATCAGCAGAGGTTGACCCGCTGTTGCCGCTGCTGAAACACACCCCTCAACCCTCACTGTGCTCACATCCACTGGTTGATGGCTATCAATGTTCAGCAAGCATCATTGAATGTCAATGGGTGCTATTTTTTTCTGGGTGCCATGGAGGCATTACTTGAGGAGTAGCCCCCGTAGTCTCACTGCACGTGTGGCCTTCCTGAGCTGTGAGATGCACTGTAAGGGTGGTGGGGTACCTTCTTACTTCCAGTTTGTTCTCAGGATGCCAACAACTACTAGTGCCCATTATACTTAAAAAGAAATCCTCCTCCCTGTGTCAGCGGTGGGGAAGAGAGGTGATGAGGTATGCAGTCCATGCAACACATTCTTCCCTGGAACTCTTGTTCACTGATGATGAATTCATACCGTATGCATGCAGAGAGATGCTGTGACTGTCCCATACACATCCACTTGAAAATGAATGGAGATGGAGGAAGGCGGCAGTAGCACTCAGACGCGTCACAGCATTGCTGTAGCGACTCATTCTTTTAAACAAGCAGTAGGAGACCCTCCACGCGGGCAGGGCGGGGGAGGAGCGCAGCAGCGCCCGGAAGCAGGGTCTGCTCGCACAGACAGGGCGATACGCGGCTCCCGCGCTGCCGGGACCGAGGGGCGAGCGCGGCCGGGCGGGAGATGCTCGCGGCCACACCTCCGCGGAGCGCGCGCGCGCCACCGCCCGACCACTCTTCTCTCTCCCCGCCTGCCGAGGAGGGAAAATGGGAAGGCGGCCAGCTTCGCTCGCCGCGCCTCGGATTGGCCCCCGCCTCGTGCCCTCCTCCCTATTGGCCGCTTGGCCGGAACCGGCGGCGTCCGATTGGCTGGCGCTCTTTTGGTACCAAATTCAAAGTTTTTAAAAGTACCCGGCAAGGGCGGCCGCGCACTTTCAGCTTGCGGGACGCGGTGGCTGCAGCGCTGCAGGTGAGCGCCGGCTGCGCCGCGCCGTGCGGGGATGCTCGGGGCGGGGTGGCGCCGGACTCGGAGCTGCACAGGGAGTTCTGCGGTGCGAACTCCTGGGCAGCGAGGACGGATGGGGCGGTGGGGTGGGGACCACCGGCTGAAATGCGCGGGGATGAGTCAGGGGCACTGGAAATGGGGGTTCTTGAGCCTTGCCTGCTCTCTCCCTACGGCCGGCGCTGGGATGGGATAGCGATGAATGGAAACCACGGGACGCTCCGGTCCTTCTGCCTCGCCGCATGCGGGACGCTGCCTGTCCCAAGCCCGCCTCTCTGGGACCGGGCTGTGCCGTGCGGCGGGGCGCCCATCCCAGCGGCGGGCAGCGCCGCTTCTGTCTCCCTCCCTCCCGCGGGGCCGCGCCGTCGACGGGAGGCATCTGCCGCCGCCCCGTTACCACCATTTGGGGGGAAAAGCAACCGGTTAGGGGAAAGCGCGGTTCCCTGCCCCCGTGTCCTTGATCCCAGCCGAACGGGAGCCGCTTGCTGACAGCGCGGGCTGTGGGCCCGGTTCTGGGGTTCCGGTACTCGTTGTGGGGGAAGGGGTGAGGGAGCCGCGTATCCTGCCTCTGGCTTTAGTTGTACAAAGGCAGAGGTGGATTCGTTCCATATTTTCCTCGGCACGTAGGTATGGAGGAGTAGGCTTTTCTCCGAAGTGCATTGAAGGAGCTCCATTTTTTTTTATAGTTTTTGTCAATCTGTTGAAATTACCTGAATTCCCTAAATTAAACATCAGCTCGGATGGAGGAGCTTGTCTTTCATAACAATTCCGAAGCATAAGGGAAATGCTTTCCCCGCAGGTTTGGGCAGCAGTGCTGGCTCCCCGTGCCCATCCCCCCGCAGTCTCGGCACGGAAGAGCCCCGCACTTGGCGGGCGGGAGGGAGCGGGCAGCGCGGGCCCCATTTCCTCCAGCACTCACCAGTCCCCGCGCCTCTGCCTCTCACCCGCCAAAAACCACGCCTGTAACCTTACTTCACCTTGAGCACTACTACTGCCCCCACGCCTCCACGTGGTCTGGCTCATTTCTGCTGTGCCCTTCGCCCCCTTCCCTTTCCAAAATTGCGTGGTGCCTGCCTGCATCAGTAGCATTCCCTCTGGCCTTGGGGTGCCAGTCTTTCGGGCAGCCCTGGGATGGCTCT